ACCCACACCTGGCATGGGTGAGAGAAGGGAAATACTTTTATCACCTACTCTGTGCCAATTACCATGGGGTGCTTTCACTGATACCTGACTTATCTTCAAAGCCAGCCAGCTAGGGAAGCGAGCACACGTGCCGGCTGAGTGCCTGGACGGCTAGGCGGGGAGAGGCGGGCACGGGCACCAGGACCGGGCACAATCTTTCAGGAAATGGTTCGGAAAGCCAGCCTGCACGGCTTGCCTGGGTGCCGGGCGCTCCCCGCATACCTTCGTGGTATCTGAGTGCTTGTTCTGCAGCTGCTCCAAGTACAGTTCATTGACTTCCCCGAGCACCAGCAGCTGCCTGTTCAGGAACTCCATGTGCTGCTGGACCGACTCGCTGTTTGAGAGCTGACCAAAGACACACACAGTGAAGTGAGAGCCCCAACAGCGCAGAGCTGGCACATGGGCAGACAGGGAGCCAGCTGGGCACGCCTGCCGGACTGAGGGAAAAGCAGCAGCTCCGGGGCTCAAGTTCCCACCACAAGGGCTGGGGGGAGGGAGGCATCCAAGAGCGGTGGAAAGGGACAGAAATGCACTTCCAAACTGTGCTAGGCAGACGGCAGAAGTGCCCACGTGCTAGCCGGAGCTGGCCAGGCCCAGGACACCTGGAGAAGGCGGTGACACAGGCCACCACACCAGGAATGGCAGGGCTAGGGGGATGCAGCCCCACGGAAACTCGCCGTTCCTGAGTTAGTGACTGCTCAAGAGTCCGTGCAGCCCAAAGAGAGCGGGGTCACAGCTCAAAGGCCCAAATGAGCTGCACCCTTACGTAGACAAGGCACGGAGAGCGAGCCCCCCGAGCTGCGCAGACCAGGGCTCAGGCGGGGGGGGCAGGTCCCTGTCGTGGAGACCAACCTGTGCGTGCAGGACGCTTAGCAGCACCCTGGCCTCTGCCCACTCAATGTCAGAAGCACCAAAAATATCAACCAAAGTGTCTCAAATGTCCCCTGAGAGGCAGAGGGCAGACTCTCTCCGGGCTGGGAACCCCTGGCACAGACACACGAGTAGCACCGCTGTCCATCTGAAGGGAGTGTGGGCCTACGGTGTGAGCCCAGCCCAGCCCAGCCCAGCCCAGCCCAGCCCAGCCTGCCCACCCACCAGCCCGTGTCTCACCTTCTGAGAGACCTGGCTGAGCAGCAGCTCCGTGTGACACACCTTGCTGTTCGCCTTCTTGAGCTGCAGGCGCAGCTCGGCCACCATGTTCCTGCAGTCCTCCAGCTTCGTCTGCAAACAGAGACCCGGGGGGGGGGTGATGAGGGCGCCCCAGGCCGGCCACAGAACTAACCCGGCCCAGTTCCTCAGCTGCTCTACTATTCTTGGGCTCAGGATTTAACTTCTTAGTTTGGAAAACTAAGTTACGGTTGATTTCTGTGTTCCTGATTTGTTTAACAAAAGGAAAAAAAGCCTTAGGCCCGCAGTCCCCAAACTGTGCCCCAAAGAGCCCTGGGGCTGCACAGCAGAAAGCAGCCACTCGCAGGGTGCTGCGGGGTATCTGGTTTCTGAGGGGCGCACAGCGACATCTGTTGGTCACCATGTGCACTACCAACCGGAAACGGTCCAGTTGTGGCCTGAGATGTGCTCCCTGCCTGTGGGTGACGTCATGTCTTTGCAAAGCTGGGCTTCGGGTGGTTGTCATAAATATCGCCATGTGTTTTGAAAGCCAATGTGGAACAGGAAATGAGGGTGTCTGTATCCAATCTGAGTCCAGGGCCTGAGACTCTGTGCAGTGCCCAGGAGACCACACACAGCACTGGTAAGTAACTGTGGTCGTTTAAAAAAGGAATTACATTTTTTAAAATATGTATATTTTCAAACAGTTTCTAGGTTGTCAGGACACACAAACGCACTAAGTTGTTTAGATCTACTTCATAAGCAGAGCTGTCAGGTGTTTGTTTTGGCTGCGGAGTGCCAGGAAAAGATGACGGAAACGCTAAGGGAGCTAGGCACCAAGAAAGCCGGGGAACCTCTGCAATGAAACGCATGTGCAAGGAGGTGGACCGGCCACAGCTTCGGACAAAAGCGGTCCGGTCGTCTCAGCTCAGAGGCAGGAGGTGCTTCACGCCCGCTCCTGCTTGCGGTCCGTACCTGGAGCTCCTGGCTCTGGTTGTAGAACTCCTCGCGGTCGTGCTGCAGCTGTCGGACTTGGCTGTGGAGCTGGGTGACCACCGTGTCCCGCTGCTCCTGCAGCTGACTGTATCTGGCTTGTTCTCTCTGCAGACTGACCTTCCATATCTGGATGTCTTTCTCTTGTAACTTCAACTGGTCTTTCTAGCAGAGACCAAAGATGCCATCATTTTAGCTGCCTCCCACCATGGGCAGTGACAGGCGAGTTGCACACAGGCTGCGAGCATTTCATGGGACTCATACGCTGCCCCAGAACTATCGCTACCGGCCCAGAACCTGACAGCTCACTATTGTCTAAGCTGGCTTTCGCTCAAGGGTTACTGAACTCCACGTAAGCAAATAAATGATCAGAGATGCTTAAAGAGCTTTTCTCAGGGATCAACTTGTCCCGATACCTTCAGAGTCCTCATCGCCAGCACTGGAATGAGACCTCCGCTACAGACAGTCTTACGGTCACAAAAACGCCGAACATTTCCTGACCACCTCCCCCGCACCAGGCACTGAGCAAGCACTTATAACATGATTTCTTCTAAGCAGCACAGTTACAAACAGGTGCTGCTATTATTCTTCCCATTTTATAGACAGGTGCCAGGCTTCTGTGGGCTAATTACTTTCCTACATGGCAGAGCCATGGTCTAACTGCCTTCACAGCTGTGCCACAAGTTCTGGGCCACAGAGCAGCTTCGGGAGAGCTGGTTTCACAGCTGGAGAAACGAAGAAACCGTCCCACCCTGTCAGCATCACAGCCGGTTACAAACACAAAGACTCCCTGTCCCCGCGGTCAGCAAGAGCTGCAAGAAAGCTGAGACCTGGGGCTCACACCTAAGCTCGCAGACTGACGAGGTGGCCTGCCCCAGCTGCCCAGCGAGCACAGCAAGGATGGGGGGGCTCCGACCTCGGCTCGGGCTACTTGTCACACGCCCATCGCGCTGACCCAAAACCAAATGCCACCCTGCCCGCCCCGCTCACCATGGCAGCGTTGTGCTCCTCCAGGGCCGCAGCTCGGATCACCTTCCGGAGCAGCCGCCTGTTCCGGACAGCGTGCTGCTGCCTCTTAAAACGCTCATAGAGCAACTGGTTGTGCAGTAAGAGCAGCTGGTTACGGAGGGTGCGGATCTCATCTGAGGGAGGACAGCCTGATTTTAAAGCAGAGGGAGGGTGGCAAAGATGCCTTTTACGTGTTGTTCACTCGAGCCCCCGCCCACGGTTTTGTTAGCTTAAGAAACACAATTCTTTAAGGATCAAACCACTGCCACTCAGCAAATGACCGCTTGGTTCCCAGCAATAGTCTTTCATGAGGAGAGGGGCTATCTACTAGTTACCGCCCTTTGAAAGGACCACAAAGGGGCTTCTTGTGGGGTGATTCTTTGAGAGCTTTACTGATTTTGCCCCACAAACCTGAACCACATGTATGTATTTTTACGACTCCTTTTCTCTCTTCACTGCTGTGTTCTCCCGCAAGAGCCCTCCCAGTACCAATTACTTCACTCGGAAATTTGCTAGGGAAGCCGGGCGTGAGCGAGGTCCACGCTTTTTGCAATTCTACTGGGATGTGCACGGTCCTTGCCACTTTGTGAAAATAGGAAATGCTGACTTCGCAACCCCTGAGATGCTCTTTAGCCACGTGGGAACCTGGCTGGAGCGAAAGCAAGGGGAGAGGTTTCCCACAGGGAACCTCCCTCAAGGTCAGAAAACGCGACAAGCAAACAGGATCCATAAGGGCTGGATTTGGAGCTGAAGTAACAACTTTACCTCCAAAGTGGGTCCAGTCCACAGACTTGCTGGGTAAAGATAACCTAGGAAGAAAGTTTTTGAATAACAAAGTTACCGGTCTTACCTACAAAAAATGTATCTGGACTTTTCATCGCAACAAGGTTACATCACTTCCTTGTGGTCAAAAGCCAATGGCATAGAAGTCTCAAACTCAAAGCCCTGGTGGAGTTAGAGAGGAAGCCTACCCGCCAGCCCGCCCAGCGCCCCACTAAGCATGACCGAGTCTCCAGTGTGGAAAGGCCCAAACGCGGAGCTCGCCCCGGGGCCTGCCTTTTTTGCTCAGCTCTCCAAAGCAACTGAGTGACCAAACAGAGGGCTGCCCGTTTCCAGCCCTCTCTGTTGAAAACATGGGGAGTAGCTCTCGGTTGAGAAGCTCCTATCACCCCAAGTTTAAGGACAAAGTAGGTCATTTACCAGGGCCTATTATACCAAACTTCATCTAAAAAGAGATCTTAAATATTATAATCTCTGTCAGAAGAAAAATGAAAACAAACAGTCCCCAAGAACCTGTTTAGAAACGGCAGAGGACTCAAACTTCCATTATCCCTTCCTTGGGTATCCTTTGGGAAGGGTAATAAAAGGGCTGAGGACAGGGTCTCAGGTAGGCTTCTTTCTGAGAAACCGTGGGTGCCATCCTGGGGCATCTGAACTAGCACTGAAATGCTGATGATTTTATCTTCCACCTAATGAACTATGTTACCAAAATGGGGGGGGGGGAATCTGCAGCTAGAGAGAGATACCGTGACAAACATTCCTATATTTTTTTCAAAATACCATAACCTCATCCTCCAATTTTGAGAGCAAATGTGAAAGCATGTGAACTTCCTCAGAACAGTGGCACAAACGGCCTACAGATAAAGACTCATTTTCGAGAGGAACGTCATTTAAGGAACGATCCCAATTGAACGTGAATGTACAGAGGACACACAACGCACGTATGTGAAAAGGCAACAGCCGGAGGGCCGTCTGACCAAAGGAGAGCCAGGGGCAGGATGGGAGCCGGAAGAAGGGTTTCCATCCTCACACCTTCTGGGTTTTGTAAGAAAACCGGACGTTTCAAGAGGAAGCAAGCCACCGGCGCCTTACTTGTTCAGCTCCCTGCTGTGCGCGTCTGCTCCCTGTTGGATCAGCCTGTCCAGTACTTCCACTGGGGAGGTGGAGGGCCTGCAGTCATCCTCGGCGTGTCCTTTCGCTTTCCTTAATAGTTCCTCGGTCTTCTTGCTGACAAAATGATGGGCAGTCTTTGGCAATGCCACCTCAAAAAGATGATCGTACGGGGCAGGCTGCCCACTTCCAAAGCCGGCGCCCCTCTGAGGTGGGATTTTACAAGGGCTGGGAGTGAGGATACTGGTCTGCAGAGAAGGCTGGGGCTCCCTGTTCCCGGCAGGGCTGCCCTCAGAGCCCCCGCAGGGCAGGTCAATGGGAGTAAACGCTTGCTTTGGTGTGTCAGGCCCAAGCTTGTCCAGGGAGGAGTTCAAAGGTTCCGGATTCACGCTGGCGCCCTGGGCACCGGAGGCGGCTGAATGGGTCTTCCTCGGACAGCCCGGGAGGCTATCTCGGTAGAAGGGAGAGTCAAAGCCTCCTCGAAGAACCAGAGGCTCTGCATCAGTCGTCGTGATCTCAGAAAGTTCTTTAGATATTGCCGCTGTGGGGGGGCGGACACAAAACACACCACAGTCAACAGGCCATCTGGGGAAGGTCAGGCAGTGTGGGGCCGCGTGCTGCCGAATGCCACCCGGAGACACACAAAAGACTGTCCCTTAGCCTGGCATAGGACCTGGAATGAAACCCCCATCTTTTCCCCCCAAGAGAAGAACCACCAGATCAGCTGGGAGTACTGACACTACCCCCGATTTTAGGGCAGGGCGGGGTTCTGTCACCTCTCAGCACCTCGGAGAGCTGAGCCCAGAGCCCCGCGCCGCTTACCTTCTTCCTTGTCTTTTTCTAGACTGTCTTCCTCAGAGGCCAGGTCACCTAAAAACCCCGGAAGATCACTTAGAGTGACAGAACCTTTGCTGCCAGACAGTTCTTCTAAGGAGAGACAAAAACAACTCAAGTCAAAGAAATACACCGCCCAATGCTTCCACTGCAACAGAACAAAATCTATAATGATGCTTCCTGCCGAGCAGCGAAGGCTGGAGGTGGCTCTCCTGGGGCTACTACAGAACGCTCAAATATTATAAATAATCTAATTAAAGGTACCCAAAAATAATCCCACAGAAAATAAAATTCTCCATTCTTAACGTCTCAGAGAACAGATAAAGCCACAGTCTGAACAGCTCAAAACGCAAGTCCTTTGCTGCAATAGCTTAAAAGTTGTTTTTGCTGTTATTATTAAGTTGGCTTTTAGAATGAAGTACATGTTTCATTATCTCTAGGCGTCAGCATTTACAGTGTTCCAGAATTTCCCTGTTTCCAGGCGACCCAGCAAGAGGAAGGAAACAAGGTCTGTGGTCACCCCGCGATTTTACCTGCTCCCCGGTCATTCGGAAGATGGTGTTGTCTCTGCAGACATGGCCTTGCGGACTCTGTTCTCTCCTCCTGCAAAGACAGAGGCCGTTTCCATCACGAGGCGAGAACTGTGTACCTGTCCTCGGTGCAGGAGAAAAATCCTAAACATCTACATTTTTAGCATGTTATAAAGGAGTTTAAAGGTTAGCCCAGGGGTTCTCAAACTGTTTGCTCTTTGGATGTCTCATATTCTTAAAAAGTACTGAGAATACCAAGAGCTTTTATTTATGCGGTTATATTGGGTTGTTGAAAAAGTCATGATGTATTTTTTTCTGGTTTTCGCTGCAAAAATGCGTCATCACCTTTCCGACAACCCAATATCTCTTGGTAGTTACTGTATTAGAAATTAAAACAAGTTTTAAAATACTCATTGATTCACTTAAAAATAACAAACCCATTACATGTAAACATAAATAATATATTTTTCCAAAAAATATCTGTATTTCCCAAAACAAAAATAAATTAGTGAGAAGAGGGAAGCTGTTTTCTATTTTTGCAATCTCTTTAATAGAATATCTGGCTTAACGGAAGAAAGCTGGATTCTCACGTTGGCCTCTGTATTCCATCATGTTGTTTTGGCCAAAGTAGATGAAGAAAATTCTGGGCCCCACAGATAAATAGTTGTAAGAAGTGAACGCACGTTAACAGACTTTTCAGCTAACTGTGGATAACCATCTTTGTTACGGCACCCAAACTGGGGAAGGGGTCATTTCTTTTTTTTTTTTTTTTAAAGATTTTTATTGGGGAATTGGGGGTATGGAAACAGTGCTGGGGAATTGGGGGAAGGGGAACAGACAAGTTGCTGTCGTTTTGTTCTTCAGTCTAGTTGTGGAGGACGTTGCTTCACTG